CTTCCTGTAGCCCCAGCTGTCCTGGAACTCACTATGTAGACCAGGCTGGCCTTGAACTTACAGAGATCCGCCTGCCTCTGCCTCCCAAGTGCTAGGATTAAAGGCGTGCACTACCATGCCTGGCCCGAAAAATAATTTTTAAAAGAATAAAAAACAAGTCTGGCCTGGCCAGAGAAAAAGGCAGAGTAAAACAGGTTAAGTTGGGCCAGCTGATGGATCACCAGCCTGTTCTGAAAAAAGAAGGCTGGCTGGAGATGTCAGGCAAGTCTTAGCATCCCAAAGTGAACGACGAAGCAATGTTACCCAGCTTTCCCCATTAGATCTGAGGAACAGTGGCACTTTTTAGCCAATAATTTTGCTGGATTGTCTATTCAATACATATTTATTAAGGAACCACTGGAACACAGTGAAGAGGATGACACGGCTCATGTAAGGCAAGCAGTTTTTGAAAGCAGGCAGTGGGATCAGAGACAGCCAGCACAGATTTTTATTTAAAAAGTGCTATGGTACCACAGTGGAAGGAGCAGCCATACTCCAACGTAATGAGAGAGACAGAGTAGTTGATGTTTAAGCCAAATCCTGAAGAAGTTGTTTGTGACAAAGAGAAGTGTAAGGATCCAGGAGCATAGCACATATGCAACACGGAGGTAGAAAAGACTACAGTATATACAGTGATAGCAAACAGCTCCATGTGGTTACATTACAAGACATGTTCAGAGGAAGGAAGGAAGAAGTAGAAGATGACTTCAATGGCAGGCTGTGTTGAAAGCCTGGAACCACAAGTAAGGAATAGATCTTGATGCTGGTCATAGCTGTTTTCTACTAGACAACTGTCACATACAAGACCCAGTATGAGGTACCAATGAAAGACTACTCTCAAATAAAAAGGACTCTTCAGAGAAATACTAATCTTGAAATCTCTGAAGTCCCCTTATCTATCCTACCCCACAGGTATTACTAAAAACATTCTGCCATTGAGTGCGCAGCCTGGCGGTGCTCACTGAAGGGGAAAATAAACATACCTTGCCATACATGGTCTTAAAAGCTGCTTTAATTTGTTGCCTCTGATCATTGGAACGGTTGGATACTACATCCACAATCGCCTGCTCGTCTGTCCCTGGAAAAGCCATACGTGTTTGTATAAGGATGAAGTCTTGCTATGTCACTGTCATCCTAGAGATCATCTCTTAGAATGTTTACAAGGCAGTAGGCACCAGATGACACTGGGGTATGAGAACATGGGCTGACACAGGAACTCGGTTTATAATATAGGTTCATTTTCCTTGTCATCGTCTACTTTAACACTTTGTAAAAGGGCAAAATCCATTTTTCTTACCAAATCCCTTCATTGCTTTACGGAGAATTTCTGCATCTCTCAAAGCATCAAAGTTGGCAGCTGGCTGGACTGTCCCTTGAGTGCCCTGAGTCATGGCTGAGGGCTGAAAACAAAAGGCATACAGTTCAAGTGAGGATTCTTGCTGGACAAAAAGACAACTTAAACACTTACTCCAGTTATTACATATATGCAAGAAGGCCAGTAGTTAGGTTTTAGGGCAAGGATGCAAGCACTCATTACAGGTATAACAGCATATGACATAACAAAAGGTAAGTAAGGAAAGATCTGCCCCTCTTCCAAACGTCTAACTTCTAGGAGGTAACTTGTGAAATCAGTCACAATCTTCTTATGCCTTAGCCTCATTTTTGATAGGGGGTGGGGGAGACTGATTTCTAAATAGTATCAGATAAATGTTTGCTTTGAAGGTAAGAAAAAAAATGTCACTAGTGAAGTAATTATGAGCACCCAGTGAGATTTCAAATGAGCAATACTCTCCATTTCCTACATGGGTCCTATTTGTTAAGACATGAAATAAGGCAGCTAGAGAGATGGCTCAGTGGTTAACAGCACTGACTGCTCTTGCAAAGGACCCAGGTTCAATTCCCAGCACCCACATGGCAGCTAACAAATCATCTATAACTGCAGTTCCAGGGGAATTGGATGCCCTCTTATGACCTCTGCCAGGATTGCATGATACGGGTGTACTTACATACATGTAGGCAATATACTCATACACATAAAATAATTTTTTTTTGAGACAGGGTCCCCCTGTAACCCTAGCTGGGCTGTAGCTCACTAGGTAGACCAGGCTGGCCTCAAACTCACAGAGATCCACATGCTTCTGCCTCGAGTTCTGGGATTAAAGGCATGCACCACCATGTCCGGCTCAAATAAATTAAAAAGAAAGTCTCATTCAGATATGCGAACCTGAGGAATAAAACGCAGCCCACAGCCTTACACAGAAGCCAGAGGAGATGGGAAAGGCATGGTTTCTGTCCTCATTTGCACAAAGCTGGAGAGTCCTGTTGGAGCAGGTGAGCATTTCTCACTTGCATAAGTATACTAGCCTGGGAATCTGGAATGGAACGTGAGGTAAGCTAGGCTCCTCTGTTCCTTCCGAGACACTTGTTTTGTATTAAGTCAGCTACCTCAGTTCCTAGTTCACAATTAAATATATATGTACATACCCATATATATGAATATATGTATATATATTCATACTCCAACATTTTTTTTTTGCCAATAAGACCTAATATTTATTTTCCGCTAGTTTTCTAAACCAGAAATGTAAAGAGAAAACAAAAACTATTCCCATAGTGGTTTTACGGAAAAACTACATTTATTCTAATCATAACAAACATTGAAGTTTTAAAGTTTTTTTCAACATCATACCTTTAATCCCAGAACTCAGGAGGCAGACAGAGGCAGGTGGATCTCTGTGAGATCCAAGCCAGCCTAGTCTACATTGTGAGTTCCAGGGCCAGCTGGGGCTGCAGGGAGACCCTTGTCTCAAAAAGACAAGAAAAAAAGAAAGTTCGACATACTGCCCTTACATAAATCTTTGCCACAATATAAGAAGGAGGCCATGAGACTTGAAAAAAGAGGCTTTGCTGGGCATGGTGGCGCATGCCTTTGATCCCAGCTCTGGGGAGGCAGGGGCAGGCAGATCTCTGTGAGTCTGAGGCCAGGCTGGTCTACATAGTGGGCTCCAGGCCAGCTGAGGCTACAGGGAAACCCTGTCTCAAAAAGAGAAAAAAAGAAAGAAAAAAAGAGGCTTTAAGGTGGGGGTGGGGTGGGGGAGATGCTAGAACAATATGGAAGGTGGAGTAAGAAGGGACCAGAGAAAACAGTGGGAGAGGAGGAGGTGAAATGTGTATGATACTCCCATATGGAAACCTATTACTCTGTAAGCTAATTTTTCTTTTTAGATCTCTTAATGTATCAAGAGTCTTAGATAAAGAGATCTTGAGGAAGAAAGGAGGGTTAACAGAGGGTCACAGAATACATGAGACCTGAGAGCAGAGGGAGCATCATTTGTTGTGCATGTGGGGGAAGAAAGGGACCGCCAAAGGAGAGTCATGGAGAACAGGGAGGGCAGTGAAGGAATGATGACACAAGTATAGACGTCTTTATCATTTATTTATAAATGGCTTAACGAAGCCGTCACTATGTATGCTAACTTTAAAAATGAACAATTCAGGGGCTGCTGAGATGGCTCAGAGGGCAAAAGCGCAGGCCACGGAGCCTGCCACCAGAGTTCTATCCCTGGGTCCCACATGGTGTAAGGAGCAGAACCAACTCCTACAAGTTGTCCTCCGACCTCTGGACACACACTGGGGCACTGTGTATGCATGCACCTGTGTGCTTATAATAAATTTGTCTAGATCGTAGGAAAAATAGGATGACATCTAGAAAAATAGGATGCCATACATCTATTTTCTGACATCTTTTCTCTAAAAAGAAAATATATGTATTATTTTTCATCTGAAGGGAAAAATGCTGACATGTGTTGAAACTTTGTTTGAAATGCATCTCTAAGAATTCAAGAATATTGCACACCTACAGACACTAAACTAATTCAAAGAAACTGGGGTCTGTATTCTTGTGATTGAAACTCTGGTGAAGATTCCTCAGCACCACAGTGTCAGTCAGCAGAAGTTCCATCTGTTCGTACACATTTGATGCCTACCTTCCTGCTGAACTACCACAGAATCAGAGAGTTAAACCAGTCAGAAGATGTTGGCTAGCCCATTTCACCCAGGCAGAAATTTTCTACCATGATAAACATGGGCATTCACGCACACACATGCATGGGTGTAGATACACACATACTCATGAACTACACCCACACCAACCAAACTGCATCTGAGGACTTCAGTGACCTTACCCTTCACAAAGTAGCCATTCCACTCCCACCTAAAAGCTCTACCAACATCCACTATTCTATTAGCTGCTACCTACTGTTTTTAGTTCTAGCTGTTAGTAGTTGTTAAAATAACTTGCAAATATGAAATTTTTTCTAATTTTATGTGTGTGTGTGTGTGTGCGTGTGTGTGTGTGTGTGCCATGTATGTGTGGGTGCCCACAGAGGCTAGAAGAGAATACCAGATTCCCTGGAGTCAGAGTTACAGGCAGATGTGAGCTGCCAGACATGGGTGCTTGGATCTGAACTCAGGTCTTCTGGAAGAGCAGCAAGTGCTCATAACCTCTAAGCCATCTCATCACCCTGTGTATATGTACTTTACTTTTAGTGTTTTATGTTTAAACATTTTTCATACTAGCCAAGTATGGTGGCACATACCTGTAATCCCAGCATTTGGGAGGCAGAGGCAGAAGGATCACAAGTTTATGGCCAGGCTGGTCTACATAGCAAGCCCCAGATCAGCCAGCCAGTGCTACACAGTGACATGCTGTATTAATGAAAAACCCACCGAAGTTTTTTATACTGCCAGGTAGGGTGGCTCATGCCTACAATCCTAGCACTTGGGAGGCTAAGGCAGGACTGCCATGAACTTGAGTCCAGCCTGAGCTACATAGTGAGCTGTAAGCCAGCTGACCTCTTCTGAGACCTTATTTCAAACAAAACAAATCCCCTCAAGAAATAAATAAAACAAAAATCTTTCATACTGGGTCATAAAATGATGTTTCTAAAGTTACATGTATGCTTAAAGTAAAATCAAAATTTTCTTATACAAGTAAAAATTTTCTTATACAAGTAAGGATTAAAATCCATTTACTATGGTTTTGGAGGCATATCTCCATCAAATACCAGACACTGTTAGTCTGAAAGTCGGAAGAACTTAGTCTCAGCATAGTAACTAGCTGCCGTTCCTGGACAAGTTTCTCAACCTCTCTGTACCTCAAATTCCTTAAATCTCAAGTGTGAGTCCCATGCCCCCGCCCCTGCCCCAAATCAGAGGTATTTATCTCCCAATACTGCAATCCTCCTACCCTAGTCTAAGGCAAACTTCAAAATGCCAGAGCTTTGTATTAATGAACACGGAAATCAATTTGAAAAATCAAGATAAAGATAAAAGTGTATCAATGTTGGTCCTAGTAACTTGCCTAAAATAATTAACAAGACAGGGCTGGAGAGGTGGCTCAGCAGTTAAGAACACTGGCCACTCTTGCAGAGGACCCTGGTTCAATTCCCAGCACCCACATGGCAGCTAACAACTGTAACTCCAGTTTCGAAGGATCCAATGCCCTCTTTCTAGCCTCTGTGGTGCACTTATATAACACACGGAAAACACTCATAAATATATATATATATATATATATATAAAAAATAAACCCAAGAAATAAAGCAAAAAAAAGAAACAAGGCAAATTAATAATAAAATGGTATTATAATGAGAAACTACATAGAAGTGGAGTGAAGATTTTATTTATGGGAAACCTTCCAGAGTACTGAGAAATCAGTTCAACAGAGGTAACTAGTGACCATGTTTAAAGTTCTGCCGAGCATTACAGGGACATAAGGGAACATAAGGCCTTGAGGGAAGTGAGACAAGAGCACTAGAAATCAGAAGCAAGTGATGGCATACATAAATGACCTAGTGGTTAGAGAATACTAGAAATCCTTACTTCATTGCTATAATCCAAAGAGACAGGAGAGAAAGCAGGACAGGAAGAAAAGGATTCTGTATTGATCTGGAAGAAGAGTGGAAAGTTACAAAGAGCAAAGTAGGAAACAACCACCCTCCATAAATCTGAAGAAATGACAATCACTCTGTCACCCAAGATCATCATTATCATGACTGGTAAGGGCAGGGGAAACCAATGCTGAGAGCCCACATGAAATCTCTAGGATAATGTAGAACATCTTCACCTGTGGAAAGGACTAATGCTTATCAGATACTACTTAAAGCAGATGGACTAGAGTATGGAATCTATTGAAAAGTAAAGAACAAGTCTTAAGTAAATGTGACAGACCACTTCCTTTGCTTCACAAAAGAGCAGTGCACTTATTGGCATTATGCAGTTCCAGTAAACCAGACTAAATTTAAAAGGTAGAGGCAAAAACTTAAAAATAAAAAGACAGAAGCAAAAATACCTGGCTGGGGTAAGGAACTTGTCCTCCAGAGTACTGAGAAGGCATCTGTCCTCCAGGAAAGCCACCTGTATGTTTAAGATGAATAACAAAAATAGTCAACAGCAAATGGCTTATCTTGATGACGAACACAGAAAGATGAAAACATTCATGCTGTGCTATTTACTGAGATGATTAGCATTGTTCTTAGTGTAAAAAACAATGGGTTTCACTGCAACATTTCTTCTGCATGTAGACTGTTCTCTGTTCACATGTCTCCCCATAGCTTTCCTTGTACACCCCCTCCCCCGAAAGTCTGCTGTGCTTTCATATAAGAAATAAATATAGACAAATGAAATACACAATCTAGGTTACACATGGGATAAAACTTTTTTTGTTTGTTTGTTTTTGTTGTTTTGAAGCAGGGTCTCCCTGTAGCCCCAGCTGTCCTGGAACTCACTATGTAGACCCGGCTGGCCTTGAACTCAGAGGGATCTGCCTGCCTCTGCCTCCCGAGTGCGCCACCATGCCTGGCTTAAAACATTTATTTTTATTGTATGTATGAATGTTTTGGCTGCATGAATGTAACTGCACCTCTGTGTTGTAAAATGCCTGAGGATGCCAGAAGAGGGCATTGGATCCCCTGGAACTGGAGTGACAGAAAGTTGTCAGCTGCCACGTGGGTGCGGGGAACTGAACCCTGGTCCTCTGCATAAGCAATCAGTGCTCTTAACCACTGAGGCATTTTTCCAACTCTCCTCCCGTAACCTTTACTGGGATAATTTCTTAAGTATTCTAATTTATTATATCAGTATCAACTTGGGCCACATATACCTTTCAATATTCCATGTACTATATATAAGATCCTAACAAATAATGTGTAACTGTGTATATAGATATATTTTCTTTTTTTTCAACCCTAGAGCCAGATTCAATTCTGATTTCATCTGCAATGGTTGTCAGGATACAGTTCTGGAGGTGGTTCCTTAAGAATCTGTTTTTTGGCTTTGAGACAGACTAAGAGAAAAAAATAGCTTTTCGTCTCTATTTTACTGATTATGACCTTGTATCAAATTGATAAACTTAATGAAACCATGTACTTAAAATGATTTATAGAACTATATAAATATTCCCTCAAATATAACTTAAGTTTTCTCAATACCAATTGAAAAATTCACAGTATCATGATACAGTTTATCTCGGAACTTACCTGGTACTGGAACCTGGGCTGGCCCACCACCATAAGACTGTGAAGGTGGCTGTGGATAGCCAGAAAAGCCTGCTCCACCAGGTGGGGCACCAAATCCTTGGCCTGAAGCAGTTAGATTAAAAAAACAAAACAAAACAACAACAAAAAAACAGTTCAGTAAGTTGTAATGAAAAAGAGCCCCATGTGGTAACTCACACTTGTAGGTTTAGCACTCAGGAGGCTGAGCCAGGAGGACTGCCGTAAGTTTAGGCCAGCCTGAGCTACAGAGTGAGTTCCAAGCCAGCTGGGGGTTCAGAATGAGATTAAAACAAAACAAAACAAAACAAAACAAAAAACCAAGTCCTGGACAGGAGAGATGGCTCAGAAGAGCACTGGCTACTCTTGCAGAAGACCTGGGTTCAGTTCCCAGCACCCATATGGTAGCTCACAACAGTCTGTAAATCCAGTTCCAAGGGATATGATGCCTTCATCTGGCCTCTACAGACATTGCATGAATGTGATACACAAATATACAGCCAGGCAAATCACTCATACACATTAAAAAAAAAATCTTAAAAATAAAAAACAAAGCCAGGTGTGGTGGCATACACCTTTAATCCCAGCACTCGGGAGGCAGGGACAGGTGGATCTTTTGTGAGTTCGAGGCCAGCCTGGTCTACGTGGTGAGTTCCAGGACAGCTGGGGCTACAAGGAGACCCTGTCTCAAAAAGACAAAAAAATAAAAAAATAAATAAAATAAATAAATAAATAAATAAAAAACAAGTCATAATACAGAGAAAAATGTCTACTGTTGACAGTGAAAACATGTCAGTAATGCTATACCAGCAGTCCTTTGTGTGTATTGTCAACCTGTTATCAACTCCTAGCACAGAAAATTAAGTTTAAGGACCAGCAAGATGGCTAAGCATGTAAAGGTACTTGCTGCCAAACCTGACCACCTGAGTTTGATTCCCACATGGTAGAAAGAACTGAGTTCCCCAAGTTGTCCTCTCCTCTCTATACATGTACCATGGTACACACACACACACATAAATGTAAGAAAATTAAGTTTAAAATGTTTTAATACATTTAACTTCTGTAGTAACTTACAATACAAATTACTATTGTGTTTGTTTTAAACCTTCAGATAAAGTGCTCTTTAAGGTAACAGAGCATACTAACTAAAGTTCCTTACTCAGTTCTTAAGATTATAAATAAGCAATATGTTCTACACTGGCCCTCATTATCAAGAAATTTACTTCCATTCCCTTCACAGGAGAATATGGTAGATTCTCCCAGTCTTTGTGACCTCTGAGAACCTTCAACACTCTTGCTTCCCAGCTAGGTCTGTACTGTCCACATTTAGCTAAGAGTCACTCTGAACCCTCACAAAACAAGGAACAAAGAGGATAAAGGAAAAGACAAAGGAGCACTTCAACAATCCCAAATCACTACTAATTCCATGACCTACAGCTTACTTCCGGGATAGGCAGGCGCTCCTCCTGGCTGTGGGGCACCAGGATAGCCCCCAGGGGCTGGATAACCTCCAGGTGCAGGGTAGCCTCCAGCTCCAGGGTAGCCACCACTTGTTGCTGGTGGGTAAGCACCTCCTCCCATTGGAGGAAAGCCACTGGGATAAGGATACTGGCCTGGAGAGGGGAAAGATGACTCCTGACCCGCAGGCTGGAAAAATCAGAAAAATTTGCAAGTGGACATGATCATAGAGAAATATGACCCATTTAAAGAAGAACAAAGATGACGATTCAAGGATCTTAGCTCTGTTTTCACATTAAAAATCTTATTAGCAGTTTGGGAGTCTTAGACTACTTTATCGGTACTGTATTCCTTTATCAGAATTCAGTTAAATTTAATTCTATACGACTCAGGGAATGAGAATCCATTTCATTTCTCTATATGGGATTTTGTACCAGGTCTTGGTCTCAGTCTCGGTCTTGGTCTCGGTCTCTCTCCCTCATCTCTCTCTCACTATATAGCCAGATTTCTTTGAACTTCAGAACCTCCTGCATCCATCTCTGAGTATTGATTGTAGGCACACCATGATGGTTTGAATGAGAATGTCCCCCATAGGCTCCAAGTATTTCGACATTTTGTCCCCAGCTGGTAGCATAGTTTTGCAAGGGGGTGGGGTGGGAAGGGGGTGGGGGTGCGTGTCTTAGATGGTGTGGCCATGTTGGAGGAAGCATGTCACTGGGGGTGGGCTTAGAGAGTTCTTTTTTTTGGTCTTTTTGAGACAGGGTCTCCCTGTAGCACCAGCTGTCCTGGAACTCATTATGTAGACCAGGCTGGCCTTGAACTCACAGAGATCCACCTGCCTCTGCCTCCCAAGTGCTGGGATTAAAGGCGTGCACCACCACGCCTGGCTGAGAGTTTTTAAGCCTTGCTGGATCTCCAGTCACTCTCTGCTTCCTGTGCCTGCTTGAACACCTCTGCGGCCATGTCTCCCCACCAGCCATGTCTCCCCACTGTGACAGACTCTAATTCCCCTGGAACTGTAAACTCAAATAAACTTTTCCTTTTATAAATTCTTTTGGTCAGTATATCTGTCACAACAGAAAAGTAACTAATACACTCATATTATAATGCCTGCTTCATATCAAATCCCAAATCTTCAGGAACTAAAGTGGTTCAAACCAAGTAACTAAGCTCACAAATTCCTTTGTTTTCCTAGCATCTGGAAATATGATTTAAACAACAACAAACAACTTCCTCCCCATCCTTGAGAGGCATGTGTGACTCTTTTGCACACACTTGGACCTGCTATGTAAAATTAAAGAACAAGGGGTAAGCCATACACAGAGTGTAACATTTTGGATCTTAGCTCAGACCAGACAATCAACTTTTCCCCTAGCCACAAAGGTAGATTACATTTCCCCGACTCTCCCTGTAGTTAGGCAGGACAAGACCGAACACCCAGTGAATTAAGTAATGTATGCCACTTCCAGCTTGTGTAAACAGTCTTTGCCCAAGCCACTGTTCTTGTTCTCTTTCTTCAGCTGCCAACCAGCTGCAGAGAATGTAGTGGAGAACACAAGAGTGGTGCAGTCAGTAGTGAACAGAGCCTGGGAACCCCAAACACTGCTCAAAACAAGCCCTTCTCCTACTGAACCCTACACCACAGCTGATCTTCAGGAAACTGAAACAAGCAAAAAATAAACGTCCACCACCATGCCTGGCTCTTCTTTTTTTTTTCTAAAACTAACTTAAAAAAACAAACAAACTGAGTTTTAAAAAATGAGCCATGAGTTGGGTGTGGTGGTGCATACCTTTAATCCCAGCACTTGGGAGGCAGAGGCTGGTGTATCTCTAAGTTTGAAGCCAACCTGGTTTATATAAGGAGCTCCAGAAAGTTAAAAAAATCAGCCCCAGCAGAAGCAGGTAGCTATCTGTGAGAGTTCCAGGACAGCTGAGGCTACAGGGAGACCCTCTCTCAAAAGGACAAAAAAATGGACAAATAATTTTAAAAACCCAAACATTTTATGTGTCATTGTCACATAAAATGTAGGTCTCTGGCTTGCAGAATTGCCCTACATTAGGGCTAAGCAGCTACTAGCTCTCCATATATGAAAAGAACATTCATTTCCCGATAATGTTCATCTTCCCTCACTGATTTGTGGCCTGGGTATTAGAGTTTATGACCCCCATCCCCTGCTCTACTACATTTGTAAGATCTGTCATGGACTAATCCAATATAACACTGGTCTGGACAATGTGGTGATTTTAGTATTTTAACAGCAATACTTACAGGATATCCAGGGAAAGGTGGGTAGCCTGTGGGGGGATAGCCTGGGTATGACATTCTGTAACAATAGAAATAAAGTACATTGTAATTTTTTACAAGTCTTAAGGCCTTTAAAAATATACAGATATACATACAGTATTATGGTAAGCATTAAAATGTGCATATCAGGGCCACAAATATGGCTCAGTGGTTAAGGACACTTGCCACAAAGTTTGATGACCTGAGTTCAGTTCCTGGAACCCACATGTTAGAGAGAACTGATTCTTTCCAGTTGTCTTCTGACTTTCAGACACATGGCTACAGCATACATGCACCCTAGCATCATATACACACACACAAGTAAGTGTACAAGCATGTGAATATTAAGGATGTATCAAAGCTTATAAATTGTCTGTATTGTATAGCATAGGAAAGCCTCCAATTCCATTATCATACCACACCGGTTTTAGCATATCTGAATTTTGCTAGTCTATCTATAAATGACATGCTGATTTAGCATATCATTTATAGATTTGCTTCATATCACTTTGACAAATAGAAAATCTATAGTAATTTTCCTGCCAGAAATTGAAGGTAGCAAGTCCAATGTGGTCTGGTAGATCTATCATCTCAGCACTCAGGAGGTGAAGGCAGGAGATTTTCAAGTTCAAGACAGCCCTAGGCTACACAGAGACACCCTAAGAAAACTTAGAAATCTAAGTTTTCCTGAGACCACAGAAATATCTTTATATGGAGGTATAATAACTACAGTACTGGAACAATACAATGAATAAAAATTTACATTTTTAGGTGGGTGTGGTAGCACATGGCTTTAATCTCCATATATATACATACATACACACATGTGTGTATATATATATATATATATCCCTGACTAGCTTGGAATGCCCTAGACCTACCTGGCCTCAAACTCAAAGAGATCTGCCTGTCTCTGCCTTCAGAGTAAAAAGATTAAAGTTGTGCACCACTATACCCAAACTCTTTTAAAACTGTTAATTACAAAAAAACTTCAGACTTACTCAAAATTAAAGATAAATTTCCTGGACACACCATCCAGCTGCAATACTTATCATCTCATAACCGGTTCTATTTCAATATGCTCTTTCTCAACCACACCAGTAGATTACTCTAAACCAAACTCCAAACATCATATTATCATTTTTTAAAGTTTATTTTCATTTTCTGTGTATGAGTGTTATGTCTGCATGTGTATAAGTGCACCCATGTCATGAAGTGCCCATAGAAGACAGAAGAGGGTATCAGATCCCCTGGAAGTAGAATTATGGATGGGTGTTAGCTGCCATGAGTGCTGGGATTCGAACCCAGGTCTTTGAGAACAGCCAGTGCTCTTAACTGCTCTCACCAGTCCCTACATCATATTATCTTAACCTATATATACTTTAGAATATTATTTCTAATAACACAATGATTTGTCAAGGTAACAGGGCTATATAAAAGAAAATGTAAACAGAGGGATTAGTGAGATAGCTCAGTCAGGAAAGTGCCTGCCAAGCTCACAAACACAGGAACCAGAGTTCAATCCCCAGCACCCATGTAAGAAGCTGGGTGTGGTGGTACACACCTGAAATCCCAGCACTGCAGGGGTGGAGACAGGCAGATCCCTGAGGCTCACTGGTCAGCCTGCCTAGTTTAATCAGTCAGTCCTATGTCCCAGTGAAAAGACCCCGACTCAAAAAACAAGGTGGATGGCTCCTGCAGACTATAATACCCAAGGTTGACCTAAAACACTACTACAAATGGAAAGTAAACATGATCAATGGTATAAACCATGTTTCAAGAAATGCTGTCTAAAAGCCAGGCCCAGTGGCTCAAGCCTTTAATCCCTGTACTTGGGGGACAGAAGCAGGTGGTTTTCTGTGAGTTTGAAGGGAGGCTGGTCTATAAAACAAGTTTCAAGCCAGCCAGGGCTACATAGTGAGACTCTATCTCAAAAAAGAAAAAAAGAAATGCTGAATACAGATTGGCAAGAAAGTAGAACATTGCCAGGTCTAAAGAGTGGGATGGAACAGTGATGATCATCAACATAAAATGAGATACAATGAGAGACTGAGCTAGAAGCCCAAGGGCTGGGGATGTAGCTAGTTGCTAGAGTATGAGCTTAAAGCCATTTCAAAGAAAGGTTTGTGATCCTTGGCCATGAAGCCCTGGGTTTGAGCCTCTGTACAGTTGTTTCTGGTGTGGAAATACACTCTTCATTCCCTCCAAGTCCATTCTTACCATCCCTTACCTGTCAAGAGAGTCCCTACTTAAATCACCTGATAGTTTGTGAGTGATCCCACAGCTTTCCGACCATCTGTGGAATGAGTCTCCTATGCTTCCTTCACTGATATTTCCATTGCCATATCCTTAGACTAGGTTTCATCACAGAATGCCTGGCTTACTAAAATGATTTTCCATTTATGTTCTTACTTGTATCATCTCTTCTAATTTGCCTAGTCATTGCCATTAGGTGCTCTTTCCTCAAAGACTGCCCTTTCCACAAACTACTCTTTAGACCAAAAATCCTCAGTGACTTATTGTTGAAGTAGCAAATAAATATTCACTGACAGGGCTTGGGGTATAACTCAGAGGTAGAGCACACACTCAGCCTATGTTCAAATCCCATTAAAATCAGAGAAAAAAAATTCCGGTTTCCTTGGTACTGGCTCAAATTTATAGTCAACAAATCTCTTACCAACACCTAGCCCCCATTGTGAAGTCCCTGCCTGGGAACCATTCTCAAGCAGCCTGTCCATAATTAATCCACTCTTACTGATGCAGCCTTCAAGCCTGGGAACACTTAGTCCTTCTGATTTACCTACTTTAAATCTTTCTTTTCCTAAACACTGTGCTGAACAACAACAACAAAAAAGTGGAATTATCAGAATTTCTGCATGTAAATCACCTGAGGAGCTTGTTAAAATGCAGATTCAGCCCTGTGTAGTGGTGTGTACCTTTAGTTCCAACACTCGGGAGGCAGAGCAGGCGAATCTCTGTGCCTTCCAGGCCAGCCTGGTCTACATAGTGAGTTCCAGGCCAGCTGGGGTTACAGGGAGACCCTGTCTCAAAAAGACCGACCAAACAAACAAACAAACAAACATCACAACACACTGATTTAATAGTTCCTGCACAGCCAGAAACAGATTTATTGTCTGCCTGCCCTGCTTACTTTCTATTGCTATGATAAAAACCATATGTGTCTGGGAGGACTGTGGAAGTTTTTGGAGCTTTAGACTAGACAAGTGCATGGAGCTCAGTGAGCTGTCCTGGAGGAACTTGGAAGACAATGCTGAAAGAGGTGCAGATGCTGGAGGCCTGGTTTCAAAGGGAAGCAAAGACTACCAGGGCTGATATATTTTGAAGTAAAAAATTTTGGAAGTGAAACTTTTTTTCTGGTCTTTTTGAGACAGGTTCTCCCATAGCCCCAGCTGATCTGGAACTTGCTATGTAGACCAGGCAGGCCTCAAACTCACCTACCTCTGCCTCCCAAGGGAAGTGAAACCTTTTGTGTTTATTGCGATAATGGATGCTGGTCAGCTGGGGCTGAAAAATCAGCTGTAACAAGAAATCAGCATCATTGAGAAAAATCCTTAAGGTCAGCACACAGAAGCTGTAGTCCACATGGTACTAGTTTTGAAGGCATGAAGGGGTCCTGGAGAGCAGCTGAGGCTTGGCACTGTGAAAGGCCAGTAGAGGCCTTTGGTGAAGATACAGCCTCAGTTGTGGCCTCCAGGATTGATCCCACACTGTCTTCAGGCCTCTGCAGACATTGCACAACATGGGTGCACTTACATACATGCAAGCAAAAAACACTCACAGATTTAAAAAAAAAAATGAAAAACCAAAAAAAATAAAAAACCATTCCAAAAAGAATCAGAATGCAGTTCCATTTCTGTATGTTACAGAGCTACTTTCACATACTTATGAATGTACAAGGCTATTCACCACAGCATCACTTGTAATAGCTTTTAAAAATAATGTAAACCTTATTACAGGGCAAATGAAATACGTTATGGATGATCATAAAGAGAAGTGTTACATAACTTCTAAAATGGTGTACCTTTTAAAACCTACATATAAAACCATTTACCTTGTCAGGCATGGTGCTGCACACCTTTAACCCCAGCACTCTGGAGGCAGAGGCAGGCAGATCTCTGTGAGTTTGAGGCCACCCTGGTCTACATAGCAAATCCAGGCCAGCTAGGGCTACAGGGAGACCCTATCTCAAAAAGACCCCCCCACAAAAAAAAAAACATTTACCACATACATCAAGTGAAAAAAAGCAAGGTAAAAATGGCATATGTAGTTTGTATGCATATGTGTAAAACAATGCACTGTTTTCTTCTACCTGTATAGAACATCCCTAAAAGGACACACATGGGAGTAGAAAAGCAAGATGGTGTCCAGAGCTCAGGATCAAAGAGAAGGCAGCTTACTTTCCAATGTGGTGTCCAGAGCTCAGGATCAAAGAGAAGGCAGCTTACTTTCCAATGTCTTTTTAATCCCTTTCAACATTGTTCCTGGATCTATTCAAAAGGTAGACTTTAAAAGTTTTTGTAAAAAGCTAAACAAACCCCTGGGTGACTCAACACATTACAGCTTTGCTAAAGTGAGTAAGACCCTGTTTCCAGAACTAAAACTTTTCTTTTTTATATGCTCTGTCAGAAACAACCTTTGGAAAACTTGGAAAAATCATTCTTGGTTTTCCACACCATCTCCACCCAGTGAGTCAGCTAGCAAAAGGGTGAGTCTCAGAATGGAAGCCTCATAACTGGCGCGAAGCCTAGGAACACCAGAAAAACAAAAACCAGGAAGTGTGACTTAAGGCAGGCAGGTGCAGAGATACCATTTCCAAAACCGACCTCTAGGTTGGGAAGGACCATTTAAATCAGTCAGGTAAATAACACGAAAACACCGCTAGAGCTCCCCAAACGCAGGTAGGCACCCCCAGCCATGAGGACTAAAAGGTGGCTTAAGTTTGCAATGACATTACCGATTTCGCCCGCTACTCTAGCTACTGGTTGGAAATGCCTTCCTGGCTCAAGAGGTAGCTTATTACACTCAGAATGTAATTAGGACAGATTACCTGATCAGGTTAGCTCGCTATCAGCTGGCAGCAATTAGGGGATGTAAAGGGTAGCAGGAAGACTGGCAGGCTTAATTCTGTTAAGATTGCAATCTCCCTGGGCACCTTGGTTTCCTCCATCAGTGTTGACCAGCATTGGCTGGTCAATGACCAGACATGAAAGCTGGAATGCTACTTTCTGGACTAGTTTCCAAGAATTGTAAGCCTGAGCTTACACGATCCCAGCCTTGTGAATTCTATCCTGGGTGTCCCTAAGCATAGTAGAAATCTCCCAAGTTCCCCTAAATTTGCTGTGTCACCACCAAGTCTAGTTGCCGGTTTCCTTACACGGCCTCCCTTGAGGCAGCTTCACCGGGGTCACTCTCTGGCCTCTACCCCTCCCTCCACCTGAGGTCACCCAGACCCGGGGGGTGGGAGGTGCCTCTGCTCCCTGGGATCCCCATACTGCCAAGTGGAAGGGGACCTTCCCGGTCCTCCGCACGCAGGGCCGTCCCGCCTAGCCCATCCCACGCTGCGGCTCCCCTAGCGCGCCCGGAGTCGCAGCCGCTTGGAGGACCACCAGGGCCTGGCGCAGGACACACGCAGGGCTCCACCACCCCCCATCCCGAGGAGCGCGGACAGGGCGCGGGCGGGGATGAGAGGCCTGCGGTCAGCAGGAGGATGGCAAGAGGGGCGGGAGGGGGTGCCCCGATCCTCACCTGAGCCCGGAGCAGCGTCACAGCCTAGCCGCCTCTTCCGCAAGATGGAACCAGGGCGGGCCGGAGGGCGGAGCGCCGGGGCGGTGCGAGCTGGCTAAGATTCCGCGGTGGCAGCCTGAAAGGGCGGCGCCGGGTGGGACCCAGCTCCGCACGGTAGCCCGGCTGGTTTCATCTCAGCGCCTGCTGCACTCCCTTTGGTGCTGCCGCTGAGGAAGTTGTGCTCCCAGGGGTGCGCCGCGGAAGAGCTGGGAAAGGGAGTTGGGCAGCTTCCCCCTCCACACTGTGGTCCTGGGGTGTCTTCTGAGGACAGAGGCGGCCTCCTGTGACAGGAGGACTTATCGGGAATTCTGGGTAGTCCGAACCGGAGATGCTTTAGTTAAAACTATCAGGGGGAGTGGATTCGATTCTTGGCCCTGCCCCCGCACGACAGCATTAAGGACTCGAGTACTTTGGCGCAGAGGCTGGACAATCTGGCAAGCCTGGCAGCCCAGTGGGCCCCAGGAGTTCGCCTGTTTCTGCCTCCCCAGTGCCTAGATTAGAAGCTCGTGTTGTCACATCTGGGTTTTACATGGTATCTGGGGTTTCAACTCAGGTTCTTGCTTATGCAGCATTTTACCAATAGAATTGGTTTTCACTTTTTAAAATCTTACATTTATAGCCGGGTGTGGTGAATCCCAGCACTTGGGAGGCAAAGGCAGGCGGATCTTTATGAGACCAGCCTGGTCTACATAGTGAGGAGACCCTGTGTCAAAAAAGACAAAAAAAAAAAAAAAGATTACATTTATGATGAGCTGGGCATGATTGTGCACGCCTAAAATCTCAGCACTTGGGAGGTAGTAGGCAGATCTCTGAGTTCCAGGCAAGCCAGGGCTACATACGCCTGGCTTAAAAACATTTTTTTAACTTTAATTTTCTTTTCAGGAGGGTGCTGGAGAGATGGCTCAACTGTTCAACGGTTAAGGAAAAAAAATAAAAATACATTTTTATGAGCCGGACGTGGTGGTGCATGCCTTTAATCCCATTATTTGGGAGTCAGAGGCAGACAAATCTCTGTGAATTCGAGGCCAGGTAGTTCTACATAGCAAGTTCCAGGCTAGCTGGGACCACGAGATCTCATATAGTTCAGGCTGGCCTCAAAATAGCTATGTAACTCAGGATGCACTTAACTCCTGATGCTCCACCTGAGCGCTGTTTTCTTGTTCTTTTTTTTTAAAGATAAAGCTTTGAGATGTAGCTGGGACAGCTCCAAACAGTCTCTACCTCAGGAGTACTGGGACTACAGGCATGTCCCACAACACATTCAGGTTGAATTTTTGTACATTTGTGTGAGTTAGGGCTCTAACTTTATTCATTTGCATATGGATACCCAGTTGTCCCAGCATCTTTTGTTGAAAAATCTATTCTCTTGACCTTTATCAAAAATCAGTTGATTTAAAAAAATAAAAAAAAAAAGGCACTGGAGATATGGCTCAGTGGTTAAGAACACTGGTTGTTCTTGCAGAAGACCCGGGTTCAAATCCCAGCACGCACATGGCAGCTAACAACTGTCCATAACTCCAGTTCCAGGGGATCCAACGGCCTCTTCTGTTCTTGCAGGCATTGCATGACATGGGTGCACTTACCTACATGCAGGCAATACACTCATACACATAAAACAAAAATAATAAAATATTTAAAAAAAGATCAGTTGATCAAAAATAGTAAGGATTTTCTCCCCAATTTTTGCTATGGTCTGAATGCATGTTCTAAAATTGGTCTCTAAGATGATGGTATTAGGAAGCCTTTTGGAGATGACTAAGAGGGCACTTTAATTATGAATGGGATTACTGTCCTCATTAAAGACACAAGAGGGAGTTTGGTTGCCTTCCCCCATGTTCAAATACAGTAAGGAATTGCCTTGCTGAATCTAGAACTGTTAGAAATAAGCATTTTATGTTTAGTCTTGTCTTTTTCCATTTTCTATTATTTTTATGTGTGAGTGTATTGCCTCCATATATGTGAGTGCACCTGTGTTGTGCAATGCCGCGGAGGTCAGAAGAGGACTTCAGATTTCCCTGGAGCTGGAGTTAAGAACGGTTCGTAGCAGCCATGTGAATGCTGAGAATTGAACCCGGGTCCTCGCAAGAGCAGTCAGTGCTCTTAACTGCTGAGCCATCTCTCCAGTCCCTCTTTTTCCATTTTCATGTGGGTCATCTGCATGTGTGTTTACATGTCGGTGTGCATATGCATGTGTATACATGTGCCTAAAGGCCAAAGGTTGATCTCTTGGGAATCATCATCAATGTCTGCCCTAATCAATGAGGCAAGGTCTTTCAATCAAACCCAGAGGCTCACTAATATGGCTACTTTCCACAGGCATTTTGCTCTGGTAATGCTCTTGTCTCTGCCTCCCAGACTGTAATTAGAGGCAGGCTGCAACACCCACCCAGCATTTACATGGGTTCTGGGACTCAGAATTCCAGTCCTCAGGCTCTTCTCTCTTATGCAGGAAGTACTTTAAGGGCTGAACCATTTCCCCAGCCCATAAATTTTTGTTTCTTATGAGCCACCATGCTTATAGTGTTTTGTTATGGTACTTCAAACAGACTTAGTTTTTCTGTGTCTCTTCTAGCCAATAACACATTGTACTTACTACTTTTGTTTTTCACTAAAGTTTGAAATTGGTATGTATTAGTCCTCTAACTTTGGAAATATTTTCATTTAAGTTTTGTTTTTGTTTGAGACACTGTTTATGCAGCTCTGGTTAGCCTGAACTCACTATATGGCCCGGCTGGCCTTGAATCTGGTGGCAATCCTCCTGCTTCTGCTTCCCCAATGCTGAGATTATATATAGCAAGAGCCAGTGTCTGGCTTTTCAGACTTTTTTTTTTTAATGATTTACTTATTTCTATTTATGTGTATGTATATGTATGTGTCTCCATGTATGTATGTGTACCATGTGCATGCCTAGTGACCTCAGAGGCCAGAAGAGAACTGGAATTGTAATTATAGGCAGACCAGAGCTGTCTTATGGGGGATAGAAACCGAACCCAGGTCTTCTCCAAGAGCTTTTAACCAGTAAGCCATATGTCTAGCCTCTGGTTTTTAAGTCTTAATATAACTTTGGAAACTGGGCATGATATGTACGCCTGTAATTCCAGCACTTGGAATGCATGCATATACATACACACACACACACACACACACACACACACAGACTTTAGTATGTATTGTTCTCATTAAAAAAAAAACTGTCAGAAACGTTTAGCTTGAGGCACAAATACATTTGATGGTTGCCTGAAAATTCTAACTCAGAGCTACCTAAATCCAAAACTGACCAACAGGTTATGCCTCTTCTTTAATGTAATCCCAATTCACTTTATAGATGTAATTTATACTAATCAAGGGAGACCCTGTCTCAAAAACAAAAACAAAGCAAAAAATAGGAGGAGGAGGAGGAGGAATAAGCCAGTCAGGTGTAGTGGGACAGGGCTTTAATCTCAGCATTCCAGAGGCAGAAGCAGATGGATCTCTGTGAGTTCTAGGCCTGGACTACACAGTGAGGTCCAGGGCCAGGGTTACATAGCGAGAGCCCATCTTAAGAAACAAATAAAAATCCCCAAACAACAACAAAAATGTCTCATTCACTTGTCTCCCCAAAGCAACAATACCATGTTTCAGTTTTATAGTAAGTACTGTTTTTTGTGTTTGAGATAGGATCTTGCTATGTACTGCAGGCTAGCCTAGAACTAACTCACTAGCCAAGCCAGACTAACCTCAAAAATCTCAATGATATTTCTGCTGAAGCCTCTCAAGTGCTGAGATCATAAGCAGGCACCACGAGGTCCATTTTTACTACGTGTTTTAAATGAATTCTAAAATTATCCTACAAGAGCAGGTAACATAGTATATATGCATGTTTGGGGGCAACAAGGTTATGTGTGTGAAGGTCATGGCAAGGCTGTAGAAATGAACAGCTATGGAACTTCCTAATCCTAAGTGTGAAAAGGATAACATGGGGCAAATGTATGGTAGTGCAGCAGGTCCAAACAGAGAGCTAGCTGATGGTAATCATCCCCTTGGCAAGAAAGACACTGCTAATCTTAAGGTATTGTGTGCAGGTGAGTAACAGATGACAGCAAACAGAAAACAAATGACTTAAGCCCCAAAGTACCCAGGTGCAGTGGCAAGTGCTTGTAGTCCCAGGCAAACTGAGACTCAGTGGGAAACTGACGCAAGAGGAAGTACTTGAGTTCAGGAGTTTTGGAACTGGACAACACTGAGGCACCTTATCACTTAAAAGGAAAAAAGACCCCCAACTAAGTCTAGGTATCAAACTGTAAGAACAAGGCCAGTATTCAGCTGAAGTCTGGTATACTCTAAAATACCAAAATACAACACAGAACTGGGCATGGTGGCACATGCCTTTAATCTCAGCACTTGGGAGGCAGGGAGGCAAGCAGATCTCTGGCAGTTCAAGGGCAGCTTGGTCTAGAGAGTTCAAATCAGCTGGGGCTACATAGGGCTACATAGTGAGACCCTGTCTCCAAAAAAAGTAATTCTTAATCTTGCTGCTACAGCCTCTGCTAGTACTGGAATAACAGGCAAGAATCCTCATGCCTAGCCATAGCTGAGTCTTCAGAAGTAAAATCATGCCAGACCTGGTGGTAGAAGCCTGTAACCCTGCAACTTGAAAAACTGACGAAGAAGATGCTAAGTTCAAGGCCGACCTGGGCTCAAAGTCCCTCTCAAAATAAAAAGCAGGAAGTGGCTAGGCATGGTGCACACCTTTAATCCCAGCACTTGGGAGGCAGAGGCAGGTGGATCTCTGTGAGTTCAAGGCCAGCCTGGTCTACATAGTAAGTTCCAGGACAGCTGGGGCTACAGGGAGGCCCTGTCTCAAAAAGACCAAAAAAAAAAAAAAAAAACCCAGAAAGTGGGCTGGAGATGTAGCTCAGTGGTCAAGCACTTGCCTAGCATGTACAAGGCCCTAGGTTCAATGCCCAGTACCAGGAAAAATCAAAAGAAATGAGTCATATCATACTGGAGCTCTCATTTGATTTAGAATCTTTACTTGGACTAGGAATGGGGCTTAGGATGTAGTAGGTTTCAAAGCTAGCAACAATTTGACATCAGCAGGGTAACTTGATTACAACTGCCCCCATTTTCCAGGCATTCAGTTAGAATCTGGCTCAGCTACTGAACACCCATCATCTATTTTCTCTTCTAATTGCTTCTTCTCTAGCTGGCAAGAGGAACTTCCAAGAAATATGATGTAGTAGGCACTGCAGTATACTGGCTGCTTGTTGGGGTTAGAATAAACCTGTTCAGGTTTGAGGGACGTGAAAGGGTTAGCTCCATAGGCAATGACGTGTGTATCCAAATTCACCAGAATCTGCAAAGAGGCTGCCAATTCCTGTTGGCTGGGGAAAAGAGAAGGAAAATTGCTGTTCTGATTATGAGACTGTACCAATTGTTCAAGAACAATGCATTTCCATATTAATCAATTCCCCCAAATTACCTAAGGCTGGACTACAATGCAAGGACTACGTTTTCCTCCCAAATGTCTCACTAAATTCCTGACTAAATAGCATAGGACTTTGTTCCAAGATGAAGAAAAAAGAAGCCCCATGCAGGAAGAACATCTTCCCATAGCAGATGGGCAAGAGGAGTCAAAATGGGCTCATGTGTACACAGGATAAGTAAGATAAGTGAGTCAGGCATTACAGACAGAAATAGGTCAAAACCTGTAAACAGTAATCAATGTAGGAATCCCATAATCACGAAGTAGTAGCAGGGTAGGTAGCCAAGCTTCCATCAAGTTTGGTGAGGCATGGAAACCTGTACAACAAGAACGGAAATGGGAAGAGAGATGGGGAAAGGGCTGAGGTAGAGCCTAAGAGCAGGACACTTCTCTGCTCAACCCTCATGCTGTTCATCCCCAAGTCTCATCATCATGATCCACCTACCTACTCTAATAAAAAATTCTGAATGTAAGTATAATATACATGGAAAGTGATCAACCAAGCTCATCATCACACTGTATTTAATGAGGTCAAATGAATAAAATTGAGTATTAAAGTGCCAGGATGGAAAATTTTCAGGGGAGTCACTCAGTATTCCTTTAAATTAATTTCTCTTACCTGGATGGAATGCTGCCACCAAATCTGGACGAGTCAGATGCCCAGTCTCTACCTGCTCCTCCCAGAAATCATGATAGAGGCCTCTGTGGCCACTAAGCTGAATTGTTCCAGGTTCCAGGGGTGAAGCTGAGGTGCTCTGTAAAAAGCCAGCTGCGACATCCACACCCACCATGATCACATGGAAGCCAAGGTGTTCAGGAAACATGTAGCCAAGCTCATTATAGTCCCCAGCACGAATGAAAAACGTCTCCACATGGGAAGCACCTACTACATGCAATGTACTTCCCCCAGTCTTCCCAACATCTATCTCCAGAGCCCTAAGTCCTAGGCCCAGTGTCAAGGGCCGTGACAAGGCATCTGTCATCAACCGCTTCAAAGAACCATGAAGGACCTCTGGTTCTGGCCTTGGCCTTCCTACACTGGCCCAAAGTGTGGTCATAGCATGACTACCTAGCACAGCATCCAATGTAGCCTCGAGCTGTAAACCTCTCATAGAAAACCAGGAATCCCAATCCTGTATATCTTCAGATGGCCATGCCCAAGGTCCTGAGGGTAGAATAAAATCGCCTGTAAGGGAGAAGGAATAGAAGTGAGCAGGGCTAGAGAGATGGCTCAGTACTTGAAAAGGTTCTGCTCTTGGAGGGGACCTGAGTTTGGTCCCCACTGCCCTCAAAAGACTGCTCACAGCTGCCTGTAATTCCAGTTCAAGGGGGATGTGATACCCTCTTCTGGGCTCCAGGGCATTGTACTCATGTGAACAAATTCTACTAAATTAAAAATAAATGAGTAAATCCTTTCTTCGTTCCAAAATCCCTCCTCAATAATTCTTCAATATTCAGTCTGCCACCTGAAAATACAAATGTCCCCATCCCTTGCCAGAAGTCCTCATTTTGCCGTATGTTTTCTTCTTCTTCTTTTTTTTAAATATTTTTTAGCCATGCATGGTGGTGCATGCCTTTCATCCCAGCACTTGGGAGGCAGCAGCAGGCAGATCTCTGTGAGTTCAAGGCCAGCCTGGTCTACATAGCAAGTTCCATGTCAGCTGGGGCTACAGGGAGACCCTGTCTCAAAAGGACCAAAAAAAAATTTTTGTTTTAAATTTTATGTGCATGAGTGTATTTACTGCCTGCATGCAACTAAGTGCACTTGTGTCATGCAATGCTCGTGGAATTCAGAAGAGGGCATGGGATCCCCTGGAACTGGAGTTACAGAAGGATGTTAGCCACCATGTGGGTGCTAGGACTCAAACCCAGGTCCTCTGCAAGAGCAGTCAGTGCTCTTAACCACTGAGCCCTCTCTCCAGCCCCTGCAACATGTTTTCTTCTTTTTTCAACTGCAATTACCATCAAGGTAGAATTCTTCAATACTCCCACTCTACCTGTGACCAGAAGCCATTCCAGGACACGATCCACAGCCACAAGACGAAGCTCCTGACAAACCTTCCTGTGTGCTGGCCAATCTGACCTCTGGCACTCTGTATCACAGTAATAAACATTTCTGCACCTGAAAAGATGAATCACAAAACCTGTATCACAAAGGTGACTGAGTATCCTGGAAGGGATCTGGATACCTGCACCTAGGAAAAAAGACTGAAATAGTTGAGGATGATACGGAGAGGAATGACAGCTGACACACCAGATGTGGGGCTGTATTGGCAGGTGAGGCAGAAAGGATTAGAAATGCAATCATTCTCTCTCACAGTGATACCTCAGTGCCTGTTCTTTTTTTTTTTTTTTTTACATCTCTTTCTGAAAAACAAAAACAAAAGTAGGAGTTTTCAACTGCTTTCGCCTATCAGGTATGGCTCAACATCAATCTTCTCAGAACAGATGTGATCTTACCCTGTATGTATTCAAGAAAAGAGTAGGAAAGTGTTTTTGGTCTCTTTTTTCTCATCTCCCACAATAAGCAGGATTAATCTTTCTGTAGCTGGGGCCACACAAAATGAGGAACTATTATTTTGAAAAATCAGGTTTTTTTCTTCCTTTTGGAATGCGGATTCTGTGTAGGGTCATTTTGGATATTTCTCCTACTAGCACCACATAAGTCACCTCTTACAGTGCCGCAGAACCTTGGAGTCTAAAAGTCCACTAGGGAGTGTTTTACAGTGAGCACAAAATCGGAATGTGTCCTCCATCCTCTGGAACATTTCTTGTGGACTTCGAAATCCAAAACCTGTTAATGGGATACCTCCATCTACCACCGACCTGTAAAGACAGTGTATTGAAAGAATGGCAATAGGGAAGACAATATCCAGAAATCTCCCATGTACTTCCCCTTTGCCTTGCATGTGTTTTCATGTACTCCTATGTATCCCACTCCCATCATTTTTTAAGCAAATTGTACTTCCTCTATAGTAATATAACTGACAAAGGTCAGGATGAGAAATATCTCATTGCAAGTACCTTATACTGTCCAAACTATACTCCTCCACCTTCTGAAACCACTTGTACCAAAGACACGATGCCCCTTTCCACAGAGCCGGCCACTCACTTGTATTCTTCATAGCTTTTCATGTTTAGCTTCTGGAGGATCAGCTCAGACAGACCAGGGACATTATTGTCCAAGGAGAAGAAGCCAAGTGCATCAATGCTAGGGTCAGGTTTTGAGAGGGTGCAAGGCACAGGAGACACTACTGTGGGTGGTATTACAGCCATGGGAGTCACTGATGGAAGCTTCTTATGCTTTTGCCGCCGTGAACGTGGAGCCATGGTCCTGCCCAATGAACCTGGAAATCCTATGGAAAACAGATATGGAATGGAATTTGACAAACTGGATGCACGTTTTCAGATGCTTTACCTTATACTTCACATTCCAGTCTCTCAAGCCCAAGCTACCAGTAAGGTTTATTAGTTATAGACTACTGTCAGCCATAAGCAGTTATGAAAAATAGAAGAGAAAGAGGGGATGGTGGCTTCTATCTATAATCCCAGTGCTCAGAAAGCTAAGAGAATTGTAATTTTGAGGCCAGCCTGGGTTATATATACAAAGATTCTGTCTCAAGTGAAAACAAAAATGAAAACCAACGAGAATAATTACATACGAAATAATTTATGTCTGTATTATAGATGAAGTTCTTAGTACAAACTATGGTCTTACAAAGCTATTAAAAGCTTGTGGACAGGAACTGGGATGATCTAAGTAGACATTAGACTTACCTACAATATCTGACTTTTCTTTGTGATAGCAGGAAGAGGGTTTACAAGTCATGTAGACCAGGTTGGTTTGTAGACACAACTTATGTACCTGAGGAAGACCTTGGATTTCTGATGCTTCTGCCTCTACCTTTCAAGTGCTAGAACTATAGGCAGGCAACCACATTTGATTCATGTAGTGTTGGGGATGGAACCCAGGGATACATACATGTTAGGCAAGCAGTCTCCCAAGTGAACTATATCCCCAACCCTTTAAAAAATTTTTTGGGGGGGATCTTTTTGAGACAGGGTCTCCCTGTAGCCCCAGCTGGTCTGAGACTCGCTATGTAGACCAGGCTGGCCTCAAATTCACAGAGATCCACCTGCCTCTGCCTCCCTAGTGCTGGAATTACAGGTGTGCACCACCACACCCAGCAAAACACATAATTTTTAAGTCAATTTAAAAGAGAAGAGCTGAGGCTGGGCATGGTGGTGCATGCCTTTAATCCCAGCATTTGGGAGCCAGAGGCAGGCAGATCTCTGAGTTTGAGGCCAGCCTGGTCTACATAGTGAGTTCCAGGACAGCTGGGGCAACATGGACACCATCTCAAAAGACCAAAAAAGGGGAAAAAAAAAGATGAAAAAAAGAGAAGAGCCTGGTAGCTTTAATCCTAGCATTCAGAAGGCAGAGGCGGAAGCAAGCAGATCTCTATGAACTGGAGGACAATCAGGTTACATAGTGAGTAACAGGCCAGTTAGGGCTACATAGTGAGACCCCATCTCAAAAAAACAAACAAAAAAACCCCAAAGGTGGGCATGGTGGTCCAGCACTTGGAAGGTACAGGCAGGAGGATCTCTGTGAGGTTCAGGCCAGCCTGGTCTACACAGTGAGTTCCAGCTGAGGTGGAATTACAGGGATACCTTGTCTCGGAAAAAGAGCGGGTCTGATCTCAGCAGACCACCAGAGAGTGCCAACTTCTGGCCTCCCTCTGGCAGAGGGCCTGTGAACACAGGGGACTGCCTGAGAGTCCCCGGATTCTGCATCCATGTGGTGAAGCCTTTGAGAGGTAATTGACACTGATTCTAACCACTCCAAAAGCTATCAAAGTACCTGAAAGCAAATCCTGAATCCATCACTCTAAGAGTCCAGCCTTGGAAGACAAAAGAAAAATGAGGAGGAACCCAAAAGAGGGATGGTTTTGGAAGCCCTTGTCAAGAAATTCCAATGGACTCTCATATGAACATTTGAAAATTGCCCTGTTCTGACTTTTTTCTAGTTCCCTGTCTAGAACTTGTAATGCTAATTAATTACTCTTGCCTTTACTTCTTCTTCACATCTCCTATTCAGCAGTCAAGGACTTTCTTTTCCCCCTACAGATAAGAGTTATGCAATTTGGGAGTCTTTTAGATAGACCCACTCCAACTGCCTCACCCTGAGTCCCTGTTCAGCACGGAAGAAGCCAGAGTGGTCTGTGTGATTCCCTATTGGCAATTTGGGTAGCCTCTTCAGAGGATGGTGTGATAAGAATAGGAGGTAGCCAGGCGTGGTGGCGCACGCCTTTAATCCCAGCACTCAGGAGGCAGAGGGAGGCGGATCTCTGTGAGTTCAAGGCCAGCCTGGTCTACATAGTGAGTTCCAGGACAGCTGGGGCTACAGGGAGACCCTGTCTCAAAAAAGACCAAAAAATAAAAAAATAATAAAATAAAAAAATAAAAGAATAGGAGGTAGGAACTGGCTAGGCAGTTAGGGTAAAAAGACCCCAAAGAAAAGTAACCAGTTTCTTGGCTAAAAGTCAAAATGTCCTGTGCCTCTTAGCAACATACTCTGTTCTAAAAGCCAAAAATGTCAAAAACATTTTGGAGCTTGTAGATAATCCTTAAAAGATTTTAGGGCTACCTCTTTAGAGGGGGAAATGTTAGAGTAGCCAAAAGCCTCATAAAAATAAAAACAGTATATTTTAAAATGAAATGGAGTATTTAAAGGTTAAAACCTCATTCAATTTTATGTCTCATAGGGTTTATATTGAGTACAATATTGTATAACTGTATTAATTCAACTGTAAACCTAAAAATTTATAGCCAATTTTGAAAGATGCGTCTTTGCCCTAGAAATTGTCATTGAATATGTCAATGCTGTTGTAATGCTTCTTCTAATCATGTGGTTATTAAATAAATTTAAAAAAAAACCACCACCCTCCCCCCAAAGAAGAAAAAAAAAAACAAAGGAAGGTAAAGAAAAAGACAAGTTTGGTTGCTCTAAACTACCAGGAACTGGAAAATTGGCTATTCTAAAGTGCTTGTGAAGATAAAACACTCATTTTAACCTCAGCCTATTCTACCAGCTGCCCTCTCCACCCTAGCAGCACTCTGGGTGCACTGGCACACTGCTGGCTCTCCCAAGTTCCTTAGTGCCACCACTGTAGTCACCATTGAGATATCTACTGTGACCTCATCAGCTATGATAAGCTGTTCTCTCACATTTATAGGGCAGGCTGACTGGAGGTAGAGGGCAAGGTGGTCAGAGGACAAAAGGTTAACACTGGTGGAACTCTTCTGCTTTTAGGCCCAGAGGCAATGTTCTGAAAGTATAGTAATCACCAGTGTTGATAGTGTCAGGAACCATTACTTAAGGGAAACTGGCTTTATACAAGCAGCAACAAGAAGTATACCAAAGAACTTAAGAAATCACTTGAAGGTATATTAGAAAAGCAGAGACCAGAAATTGTAAAATCTTTATGACAGAGGTTGCAGAACAAATCAAACACATCTTGGCTTTCAGTAACTACCGGTTTTACTGATAAACATATGGATCTAGATGGCATGGTGCAGTCTTGACTCATGTAAAGATGGTGTGACTCTAGATACAATTTTAAGGACAGTTTAGAAATGGAAAATGTTAGCAATGCTGCAGTCTATCACCATCAAAACTGGCTGCTGCTCCACTCAATATCAGGACTTAGGACAAATGGGACTGAGGTCTCATCTCAAGATTTTTTTTTTCTTTCTTTTTTCATCTTTATTAGTTTTGTTTTTGTTTCTTGAGAAAGGGTCTTACTATGGCTGGCCTGGAACTTGCTTTGTAGACCAGGCTGGCCTTGAACTCAAGAGATTCACCTGCCTCTGCCTCCTTAATGCTGGGATTAAGGGTGTGTGTCACCACACCCAGTTACCTTTCTTTAAAGAAAATTCTCTCAATTTTTAAAAATTTTATATGCATGAGTGTATTGCTTGCATGTATGTAAGTATACCCATGTCATGCCAAGTCTGAGAAGAGAGTGTCAGATCCCCTAGAAATGGAGATATGGACGGTTGTGAGGCACCATGTTGGTGCTGGGACCTGAACCTGAGTCCTCTGCAAGAGCAGCCAATGCTCTTAACCACTGCGCCATCTCTCCAGACCCTCCTTTTCAAAATAATATTTTAACCATGACTTATTTGGAATAGAGGCTTTTTTTAAGAAAAAAGTGAGGCTGGCAAAATGGCTCAAAGGGTTAAGGTGCTTGCCACCAAGCTTGATGACCTCAGTTCAATCCCCAGGGTCCACATGGTGGAATGAAGGAAACCAACTCCCAAAAGTTGTCCTGTGACCTCTGTACATGCATATGTGCACGCACGCATGCACGCACACACACACACACACACATTCACAAAGTAATTTAAAAAATAATTTTTTTTTCATAAAAAAGAACAGAGCCAGACATAGTGGTTCACATCTTTAATCCCAGCACTTGGGAGGCAGAAAGAAGCAGGCTCCTGTGAGATTGAGGCCAGCCTGGTCGATATAGTGATTTCCAGGCCAGACCAGGCCGCAGAGAGACCCTGTCTTAAACTCACCCCTCCCCAAAAAAGTTCTGTAAATAAGATAATAAAGAAATTTAAAAGAGAAAAAATATCTGTAGACATAGTGAGACTAAATAGTTATTAATATCCAGGCTAAGTGCCTCCAGAGACAAGGAAAGATAGAAACACTGGCAGCAGTTGGTTTTACTGGGAATGAGGTAAAGTTCACATGAGGGATCATGTTTTGTTATAAAAATGGCCTGATATTTGATCCTTCTAGACCAGGTTTGTTAAAGGGAAACCTCCAGAATCATCATGCAGATGTAAAATTTATATGTGTCAAAACACTCCCAGAAATCATACAGCTCATATCCTTGTCTTAAACGTGACCCTTATAAGCCCTGGGCTGAGGTTAACAGAGGTATCAATTTTTCTTTTTCTTTTGCACTTTCTTTCTCCTCATCCTGTTTCTGTCCACTCTTCTAGTATCTCTCCTCAATGCATGGGTGAATGGACTGCTGTTCATAGAGTGGAGATAGCTAAGCTCATTGTATTTTCTTTATTACCAGTAATGAAGACACTGAACCTACTGAAAACAGACTGCCTTAAGGTTTGAGTCAAAGAATAGATTGGAATTACCTTTTCTCTTCTCTTCATACTTCATAACCCTATTTCCCAAGCTCTGACTTGTGTCCTCGAAATTATTTTTACTTCCTTCCCTTTCTCACTTCCTTCATGCTAAGGATCAAACCCTGGGCATCCTGCATACCAAGTAAGTACTCTGTCACTGAGCTAAATTCCCAGTCCATCTACCACAACTTGATTGGCTGACAAGGTCTCATGTAGCTGAGGCTAGGCTTGCATATGTAGCGCCAAATGGCCATAAACTTCTGATTCTTTTGCATCTATTTCCTGTGCTAAAATTACAAGCATGTGTCACAATGTCCACTTATGCTGTGCTGGATATGTAACCTAGTGCTTCACGAATGCTGGGCCAGCACTTTGAGCTATTATATCCCCAGTTCCATGCTATCCACATTTAATCACGCACAGTCTCATGTGCTCAGTTCAGTATTCCCAGAATCCTTGTCATTCTAGAAAAAGTATTTAACTGCTCTGTTTGGCGATTCCCCAGGTAAAGAGAGAAACTTCCTAAACCATTTTTACATATTCTGGTACAGAGGGACAGTATCTTTGCTTTTGATACAACTTAAAGGTCTTAAATCCCAGGATTTATAATGAGTATCTTCCTAAAGCTAAACTAAATCTTTTTGCTACAATGGAAGATAATTAAAGTCAGAAAGATATTGCCTCATTTAACTGCATTCTGGATGCAATTGGATGTCTTCCTCCAAAGGAAGATTCGCTCTTGGAAATGTTCACATGTGTGTGTTGTGTGTGTGGGATAACTTAATAAGCTAGAAATCAAAAACACACTGCTTGGGGATTAAAGTGGTAATGGTGAAATCCCTAATGTCTGAGACCCCTCTCTGTCTAAAGTACACTGACGATCTGTTATAAAATGAGAAATCAGGTCTTTAAAAGTGTGTGTGTGTAAACATTTATGAGTTTATATACTCATAGATGCAGACCTTGGTTCTAGGTTTCCCACAAAGAGCCCCAAGCTTCTCCAAGATCAAGGGGTATAAATTGAGAAAGCAAAGAAAAACAACAACCAAAACCAAACAAACAAGGGGCTGGAGGGATAGCTCAGCAGTTAAGAGCACTGGCTGCTCTGCAGAGGACCCAGGTTCAATTCCCAGCACCCACATAGTGGCTATGTGGGTAACCATCTGTAATTCCAATTCCAGGGGATCCAGTACCTTCTTCTAACCTCCTGCATGACATGGGTGCACTTACACACATGCAGGCAATATACTCATAAACATGAAATAAAAATAAAATATTAAAAAAAACCAAACCAAACGAAAAAAAAAATGAACAAAACCCCCCAAAACACAAAACCAAACAAAAACCCAGAGATGGAGATGGAAGGGTGAAGCCAGGAAGCTGTGGTAACCTCTAGGAACTCACTAGAGTTCAACCTACTTTACCAGAAAAGATATCACTTTATAACTTTTTTTTCTAGCCATCCCTGATGACCTAAGACTCTAATTCCCAGTATATTAGAGAGAAAACATCAATACCCAGGACTACAGAGGAAGTATAAAGATGGCTTCCAGCCAGGCGTGGTGGTGCACACCTTTAATCCCAGCACCCAGGAGGCAGAGGCAAGGGGATCCTCTCTGAGTTCAAGGCCAGCCTGGTCTACAGAGTGAGTTCCAGGCAGCTGGAACTACAGGGAGACCCTGAAAAAAAAAAAAAAAAAAAAAAAGATGGCTTCCAGAACTCTTATCCTTCATCTACAAAGTATAAACCAAAACATTAAACAGAAATCTCCCATTTTCCTCCCTCCTCATTAACACATATCCCACCTTTCATTCTCACTATCTCCAGACCAGGGGGACCCATGTAAGTTTCCTTACTTTACCAGCAAACAGAACTATCTTTGGGGAGGTAAGGAGAAGGGGGAGTGGAGCTGGTTATTGGGTTCCTCAAAAGGAGTAGATGAAGGATGCATAGTGGTACATGCTTGTAATTCCAGCACTCAGGAGGCTGAGGCAGGAGGATCATGAATTGGAGGCTAGGGAGGGACATTTCAAAACCTGAAGAACAAAACCCACTGATTAGCACACCCTGGGGTGATAAATACTGAAAGAATTATAAACTGAACTAAGCAGACAGATTGATGGGAAAGTAACTTACCCTGCTAAGCCCTAGGCTTCTTTCCTTCTCTCTTTCTCCAAGTGAAGTGAGTGCTTGATCTCCTCAAATCTAGACTGGGCTCCACTTGCAGCTGTCTCTTCATTTCACTTTCTTCTGCAAACTGCTGAAATGCTGGGTCTCAGTGACTTAAGTATGCCCTGCCAATCAGGCAGACAAGGCTGGATTGTCCCTAACGAGGCAAGTAAGGATCTGGACCCCTGCCTGTTCTCTTTCAGATCCTCATTCTTGCCAAGAGGGCTCAAGACTGTCAACACTCCCCAACACACCAAAAGCCAGGCAGGCTGAGGAAAGACGAAACCTACTGTTTCCTGGACATCTCTCAAGGCAGTATTTCTGCTCTGTTTACAGTTTCAGAAGAGAGAAAAGAAAACCCTTGGGATTAATTAAGGAGTCAATATTTGGCTCAAGGACAGGAACCAGACCAAAGGACCCTTGGAAAATGTGGACGTCAATCTAGAGCCAGGATAACTAAGTTCCCCAAGTCCTAAGTCCTTTTCAGCATAACATACTGCTCAAACAGAATTCAACAATGTCCCATCTAGACTCAAGTACAAATATAATTATCCAAGAAAGCAGAAGAGAAATGGCCATTTAATGGTACAAGGAATTCAAGTTTTAAGGAAACAAGGAGAATTAATCTGTAAATTCATTTTACCAGAAGGAAAGTAAGGTATTATACTCTAAATGAGCGTGTCATTAAAGAGCATTCTACATGATTATTTCAAAAGAAAAATAAATGATTCTGGCATATCAAAATAAGAAAGACCAACATTTTAGCTTCCTGCCTAAAAATACAGTTTCCAGAAACAAAAACAAGTAAGTATCAACTCAACTTTCTTCTCCCTCCTTGTTAAGGGTGCTAATCAAGAGAATTAAATCCCACATTCCTAGCCCCTTTCCACTTACGACTACTAAGCTGAAGAACCTAACAACAGATACTAGCACACTGGTCCATTATGATTATATGACTATACGACCAAATTTTTTGCTTACATCTGACCCCAGCTGCCACTTACCTACTTCTGCAAACACTATCAAACCGGGAACTAGAACCTCTAGCAATGGGGTCCTGGAATGTGGCACATCGATTTACAGAGTTTTGCACAGAGAGAAGATCCTAAAGGAACCCCACACCACAGAAAGCATGAACAAAATCAGGTAAGGTAGAAGAAAAATGTTACGGAGTCAATGAAACATCATGTAGCATTATGTAAAATAGCTGTAAAAAAGTAATGTTACAATTCGCAAAAACATTGATCAAATAAGAGTAATTCACAGTGAGCAAAAGATTTCAGGCTGACTTCAAATTTAACTGCCTCAAAATTAAACTACGACCCTCTATTGAGGCTGTTAGTAATGATTGAGCTCCCAGAAGGTATAAGACATCATAGAGTAACTTCACTAACTCAGAAGTGTTATCTTTAAATATAAATAATAATGACACAGGGGGAAAAATTGACAGGGGATGTTTATATTTGAGCATAAATACTACTTGCACTGATAGACATTTAAAGGAACAATTTAGAAATCTAAATTTTTCACTATCTACATCATTGAAAATTTCTCCTAAATCAGTACTTAACAGTTTTTGATGAAGTTACCGGTGAAGATAGAAGGCCAGGCATGGTGGTAATTGCCTGTGAAAATCCCAGCACTTGGAAGGCTGAGGCAAAAGGACAGTGAGTTCAAAGACAACCTGGGCTACATAGACTCTGTGGAGGAAAAAAGGAAGTAGGAGGGAAGAAAGGAAAAGAAGATGGGGGTGGAGAGAAGAGCTAGAAATATTTCCCATTTCATACACTGAAAGAAATCTGTAAGACTGGATCACATTCTACTGTCTTCAAGCACACTACCTTTTCTGAGTTGTTCTTTTCTCTTACTACTTCTTTATTTTTCCCAACATCCTATAATTCCTCTAGCTGGATAACAATATTTATGCTTACTCATGATGCCCATAACACTATATAACCTTAGATATGAAGCAAGGGCTAAAGAGGTCCTAGCACTTGATATACTAATTGCATTCCTACTTTAACAATGTGTATTTTCATAAAACAGTAACATTATATAAAAATCCCTTAAGATATACATTACATAATAACTTTAGAGGTAGTTAATGGACTGTTTTATAAATTGATATTACATCAAACAGATATTCAATAATCAATCATTTAGGTCCTGCTTTTTATCTGGAATTTGGAAAAGTATATATAGAAGTATATATTTTGATGTAAACTTGTGCTTTATAGTATTTTTCACTATAATTATTGTATAAAAGTACTGATTATATTATATTACAAAATGTAAGCAATGTCTCTTGATTCACACAATCTTGTACTTACCTGGATTATGGCAGAAGAGTAGAATGGCAGAACAATCCAATATTAATATTTCTTTTGCTTATTGTCAAAATACCCATTAATTTTCCAATATCACTATAACAAAATTCTAGACAAGAATATTTCTTTCAACTAAAAGGTAATGAAAATAGTGATTTTTATTTTATTTGACGTAGAGGGGGTTGAACCCAGGGCCTTGCACATTTTTGGCAAGTACCCTAACACTGAACTATATCCTTAACCCCCAAATAGTGACTTTAAATATTAGACTTAGGAGGAATATTAGATGCATCCAAAGTCCTCTAGTGCTCATTTACTCATATAAAACAATAACAAAAGTTTAAAAGGGGAAAAAAACCCAAAATTTATGAAGACAAGAATTTAATTAATCAAATCACCATGAACTATCTACAAGATAATCTTCTCTGTAGGATATCACAGCTCCATCAACAGAATTTTAAATTTGCATAAAAAGGTCAAATCAAACTGAATCTTCCAAATAAAACCCAACACAGAAATAGGAGCAGCGGCCCATGCATGGAATTTATTGTGTGCTACTGTTTATAAAATACTCGAATAGTCCTGCACATGCATAATATTTTCAACGTAGACAGGAGACCATACAGGGTGCACTTTCTGGCAAACAAAACAACAGATGGTTCCGCTGCCTGGAGTTCTGAGTTGTATTCCAGGTATGAGGGAAGCAGGCCACCAAAATAAAGGGAAATACCAAACTACAGTGGCAATCAGTACAGGTCAATAGTTGTGTAAAATCAGCACATGGTTCCATTTAGTTTAACCAAGCAGTTCTGTAACTATCAAAAGTAAAATTTCAACATGCAGTCTTGACTTTTATGCTTCCACTAACATCTGAAGGATTAAAGAGAACCTTTGCTTCTAGGCTGCACTGCTTAATCAAAAAACATTTCCAGACATTTAAATTTTCCTTTGCAATTAAACATAAAAATGATAGAAAGCCAGCAGCAAATTACCCTGGTGGTTTTTTTAAGCAACTGGAGTACTCACAATAAACTAAAATTTCTTATAACATCTAGGTAACCTATACATGTTGCACCTGTACATCATAGGTCTATATATTAAATATTTGCAAAATGAAAACATGCATACACAAAATACGTCAAGTTTTACAGACATGATTTGAATCAAAATTTACTTTGACAATGTACAAACTTCTTTTAAAGTACCTTAAATGAGTAATTCTGTAATTCTTCATCATTTTGAAATTTAGAGGTTTTCTTTTTAAATCTCTGGGGTATAATCTCAAAAGATGTGGGCTAAATTAGTTTTTGGATTTGTGTTCAAGTAAGAGTCTTCTTAGAAATAGTTTATGCATTCATAATTGAAAAATTCCAAGACTATGTTACAGAATTAGCCACATTTAAGAACTATAGACCTGAGGTCAGCATTTTGTATAAATGCCAACTGGGTTTTTTCATCATTTTGCCTACAATCCAAAATACAGCTAGTAACCTCAGAAATGTATTTTAAGACCATGCTAATTCAATTCATCCTTTAAAGACATTTCATGAGAGGGAAAAATAAGTCCACATTAACTCTAAAGATTGCATTTAAAGTAATAATTGAAAAAATCTAATTCTACAGGGGGGGGAAGTCCTCATTTGTAAACGTAAATGTGTGAACCACTAGCATAAATGGAGGTGTAGATGCCCTCCACTGGAAATTGCCCCAAGCCCCTTGCTCACTGCTCTCCACTGTGGCAGCAATGACCCAATCTTATGACAGCACATACATGTCCCAGGGCCCTCAAGCCTCCATCTAGGAAGGGGGCTAGGGTCTCAAAAAGCACAATGGTTTCTTCAGAGGGATTGTGACATTTAACATCAGGTTGGCTGATCTCTCCAGCTCCTCGGGTAATCTGTCCATTTGGGGCCCGAGATGTGAGAGTCCCTGGGAAGCCGCTGGTCACTGGGCACTATGGTTGCCAGTCCCGTGGTTTTCAGTGGCATGTGCGGTGTTCAGAGAATTGAAACCATCTTGCTGTACAGCATCTTTCCGGGGTGGCATTCTCTCATTGATCCTATCCAAACCCTTTGCCTCTTCAAAACTGCAGATTCTATGTGGTGGAGAGAATCCTCGTATTGCTTAACAAAATGCAAATTTGATAAGTCAGTAATTGTAAAACAGTTCTGGGTTGTCAAAAACATAATTAACAATTCTTAAGAAGAAAAGAAAATAGTTGTAAGTAGTATCACTTCAATCATACTTTAATTGAATTCTATCCCTATTTCAGTCCTCCCATTAAAATATGAAGTTAAACCTAAATATAAATAGACAGCTTCATAGATGACAAGTTAACATATGTGTTAAAAAAAAAAAAAAAAAAAAAAAAAAAAAAAAAGAAAAAGAAAAAAAGAGAGAGTAAAAGAAAACAGTAAAATTACCTTTCCTGCTCTTAAAATCAACCCACAGGCAATGGTCTCAGGGCATCTGCGTGATTTGTACTATAGCAGTTACCTCCTCTTATCTTGGACCCCAAGACCACACACTGACTATCACAGTTTAGGAGCAAAAAGAGGAAGGGCAGGTGAGGAGGCTAAACAAGGCTAATCTCAACAGACAAATGTGTTCCAAGAACTTGGGAGGGAAAGGAAGCAAAGCTAAAATGTATTAGGTAAGATCTGACTTGGAGGTCAGTAGTCCGGCTATACCACTATAGAAAGGTGAGGAAATGCTTCAGGAGTTAAATCTTTGTTCAGTTGATAGTCAAAAAGTATTTTATAGTTCATAAGTATTTTATATTTCAGGAAAGGTGAAGTTTCACTTACTAGCCAATTACTACAAACTATTTGGAAAACTAAAAATAAATGACGAGTCTCAATTGTTGTGAGGTTTTTCATGTTTGTTTTGAGATAATATCTCATATATCCCAGGCTGGCCTTAAAATCATTATATAGCCCAATCTGGTCTCAAATTCACAATCCTCTTGTCTTAACTTCTTTAATACTGGGACTGTAGGCATTCCCCTCCATGCCCAGCTTATACCAATTTTTATGGATTCTAATTTATTTCCATTTGGAAGAATACATCTTCCAGTAATAAAATGTCATTTAAAAAAGATATCTACACACTGGTTATAATCTAGTTACTTAATGTATGCAATTTCTAGCACTCAGTTTGTGAACATGAACCAAACAGACAGCTATGGCAGCAAAACACATAGAAATGTGTGACATCAAGTTAAGTCATGATACACATGAATATAATCTTATCTGTAAGCTAGAGCCAAAACTGTAGGGGAAAAAAAATTAGTAGTAATAGTTCCTGCATTTTCCCATATTGAAATGGGTAAAATCAAACTCCCAGGTTTATCTAATGAGGGTTTCACTTAGGAAAAAAAAAATCTGAGTATCATAGAACCATGCAAAATATGGGGCAGACCTCTATTTGCAGGGTCAGTTTCATAACTTCCATTAAAACAGGCAACATAAATGATGCAAAATATAGCATAATATGCTGGACTCTAAATAAATTAGCAATATTAAATTCTAGATTAGAAAGAAAAAGACACTACAGGTATCGGCCCTTGTGATTAAAAAAAAGGAATGTGACTGTTAAACTTGATCAGTCACTATGATTCATCTGTGCAAGCTAGGTATTAGATACATCCACAGGACATTCTTTGATGCCCACCCACACACCACAGATCTCTGCCCAGGTGCAAGGACTCTGATCGTACCTTTTTCAGCCTCAATAGCCTCAACTGTGGCTGTACAGAAGTGAGCAGAGGCATGCAAAATGAATGAGAGAGATGAGAAGGGTCATATCGTACAGCAGAAAAGGCAATGATTACTTAATACATCACAGTACCCCAACTACATCATCATTTACAATTGAACACAAATAGTACCCACATTAAAGAGCCCCATCCAATCTCCCAATTCCTAACACAGCACAGTTTACACACATCACTATGACATCACTCAGAGCACAGAACATGTAGACCTATGGCAAAGACAGATATCTCAGCATCCATGTAAATGCACTCGCAAATGCACTCCAGTACAAATTACCCATCTTGAATTCTGTATTTTGATGGTATTAGAATTTTCCATTATGATTATTATACCACATCCATTATAACAGGAAAATTCTCTAGAGTAAAATTATGATAGAATTGTAGCAGAAAAGCAAAGAAGAGGATCTTTTCTAATATTAACAACATTCATCACTAGTTGTTTCACTAACACAGAGACCACAGTGTTCAGTAATGGTTTTCTAGCACTTTTAAACTTACAATGTAACACATAAGCAGCAAAATCTGGTACAACAGTGATGAAATTTAAGGGCTAAAAATTTAGTGAATTAGTCTAATAAGAATCATTCTTAAGTTCTATTCTTTGGGGAGAATCTAAAAAAAAACATTTCCTCTGACAGGGACCTGTGTTCTATGTGTTTGTTTATTCTGAAGCAGGCTGGCCTCCTGAGCTACTGAGCTCAAGTTATCATCTTGGACCAGTGTCTAGATTAGCTGTGACTATTAGATGTGTACCACTGTACCTGGCTCCTACTCCAATATTGACCCTCTAAAGTAAGAACACCCATAGCAGTTTTTAAAAACTATATTCAATTTATCATGAACATGAATTTGCTTAAAAACTAGAAACCTGAATTCCTAAGTGGAAATTTAAAAAAAGTAGACTACTGAGAATCTTTCAAACCCATCTACTCATCAGAGAGGCATTAAGGAATGGAACTGATGCCTTTCAGACAATGAATCCTAATTATTTTGTAATATGGATACCTATATATAGATCACATGAGAAATAAATTCTTGGTATACCTTGTACTGGCCCATTTAAAGAACTGAGTATTTAGTCGTGCATTTTATAGTCAAAGATTCCTTTTTAGTTCATTTCTAGGTTTAAACTATAAAAAAAGCTCATGCTGAGGACCAAGACCTGAGAATGCAAAGAACAGTATTACTTGCCCTCACATTACCCTTTGACTTCGAATATTAAAACACTAATACCCATTCCACTTGCTTTGCTTTCTATAACGAAAGCAATTAAAGTATTTATCCCTGAAATGTTCTTTAAAAAAAGTATACTTTTCTTTAAAAAAGTATGATTAAGAATAATGTCTTTAATCTAAAAGTTCTGAATGTTAGAGGACAGTGATGAACCTAAGGATCAATGTAAACTAAATCAGAGAATACTGATGATCTAACCAGATTGTAAAGAAAACTGGGGATCCAAAGAGGTAGGTAGGTAGGTAGTAAAGAGTGAGTCTTCAGAGTTGGGTGTAGTGGTACATGCCTTTAATCCCAATACTTGGGAGGCAGAGGCAGGCAGAGCTCTGTGAAATTGAGGCCAGCCTAGTCTACATATCGAGTTCCAGGCCAGGTGGGGGCTTAAGGAAGACCCTGTCTCAAAAAGACCAAAACCAAAATAAAACAAAAAGCTTATTTTCCTGAATTGTTAAAATCAGATGTACATGTTATATACTCACTATGTAACTCACCCCTCACCCTTGAAAAAACCTAGCTCTATGTGTATCTGGAAAGAACTCTTGCAATTTGCCTAGATAGAAAACGTGAATCGATCCACCTCTATCAGCTCTGAAATTCTTTATGTAAAAGTTTTATTCATGTGAGTGCATTGCCTGCATGTGTTTAAGTGTACCCATGTCAATGTCATACCCGAGGACATCAGAGCATCAGATTCCCCTGGAACTGGAGTTACAGATGGTTGTTAGCTGCCATGTGGGTGCTGGAAATTTAACTCAGGTCCTCTGCAAGAGCAGTCAGTACTCTTAACCCACTGAGTCATCTCTCCAGTCCCAGCTCTGGAATTCTTACTCTTCAAAATGTGAATACTTGTCTTTGTAATTTAAGAACTGAAGAAAAAAAAATGCCTACTGGAATATGGTTTAAGAGTTTGTGATAATAGAAGTGACTTTGTATGAAACAGTCTATAATTTATATGTGGTAATAAAGTAAGACTTAAAATTCAACTCCCTGAGAGAATTGCTATCTAGTTAGTTATATCAAGAGTTTAAAATTCTCCTAGCGATGGAAGCACATATTCTTGTTTACTGGCAAAGCCGTTACCACTTAACTTGTATCAGATTCTGACTTGCACAAGTAACACTCTCACTATTAAAAAACTGTGGGATGATAGGTGATTGGCCAATCTTTTCTAAAATACTATTAAAAATTTTTTAAGGAATTTAAAATTCAGCTGGGCATGGTGGTGCACGCCTTTAATCCCAACACTCAAGAGGAAGAGGCAGGCAGATCTCTGTGAGTTCAAGGCCAGCCAGCTGTGGCTACAGGGAGATCCTGTCTCAAAAAGACCAAAAAAAAAAAAAAAAAAATTAAATTCTATCAATTTTCCAATGACAGTATACTATATATTCTGTCAAGTTGGAACACTTAGAAATGAAAATAGGCATTTGAAGCTTAATTTCTATCTGAAAGCCACTATTGTATTTTTCTATTATTAATAGAACACCTTGACATAGCCCTGTTAAGTTGTAGTTTAGTACTGCCTTTAACTATATTCTTCAATATAACATAGGACAAATGATCAACAGGAATTCGACACTATTAAGATAGCTACATATTTTATCATATAGATTCTGGTGTGGGTAGACTCACAGGATTTGTACATAGTCAAATTACCATGAAAAAAATACATAAAATACAAACTCAAATTCAACTGAACAGAGAGAGTTGTGCAGCTTGTAAAACAAAAACAAAATTTTAAAAACCTCTCAAGAAATATGTAAATTAGCTTTAAAGATATTGCAAAGATAATTTCTATTTTTTGACAAAAGGCTTGAGGTCTGAGAATTAGTTTTTTTGTTGTTCTTAGTTTTATTTGGGTTTCTAGCATTTCTTTTCAGCTGCATCTACTAACATCAAGGGTTTATATACACTGAAATTTCAAACATCAGATAATCATTTTAAAAATTACATGGATTTATTTTTTATTTGAGCTCTGTTATTTCTTCAAAACCAGTCTATCATATGCTAGGGAATAACTCCAACCGAATGCTCACATTATACCATCAAGAGCCATCATTAACAGAACTAGGGAGCTGTCCATTTTCCCAAATTAGACCCCTTGGGCTCAGCTCCTTCCAGTAACTCACTCTATGCTGGGAATAGACAGTCCCTTCAACAAAGCTGCTGTCTCTCAAACCTTCCCTGCAGGTAAGGGTGGTTTCCAAGTTGATGAAATGAGCTTCAGGCTGCATGCAAATTAAGAATAAATAGAAGTACTGAGCTGTCAACAAAGCATGTAATTAGCAGGTGCTGACATCTAAAGTAAGGTTTGCTATGGATACAATGTAGAAGTGACAATATAGCCAAGGATAACTAAGAAACAATTACAGCGTAGATTTATTTAAATATTATACCTTCCATTTTTGTTTTTCTTTTCTAAACAAAGGGTATAAATTTTATTACTAAAATTCTTTTGTAGTAATATTTTTTCAAGTTTCATTGAATATTTAAAGTCTTCTTAATTTGTGTTGATGGCCATCCATGAAATTCTCATTAGTAGATTAAAAATATTGGCAATAAAAAATGGAGGGCAAATAATATAAGAAGAATCAAAAGCAGATTTCTTTCTAATCAAAAAAGGAAAAAAGAAAGAAAGAAAGAAAAAGAAAGCCAAGAAATGTGGGACGGGGGATGCAGTGGTCAATGCCCTGGGTTCTTTGAGCACCAGTGTCTTAGAGGTGGGGGGAACCCTCATTCAGAACAGAAATCTAAAGTTATAATTTCAAACCTTCTCAGATAGGCCAGCAGTGATAGTAGATGAGAGAGTAAAATATAAAACAGATCATGACGGGATAAATATCTGCCTACCAATTTTTTTTTGGGGGGGGGTCTTTTTGAGACAGGGTCTCCCTGTAGCCCCAGCTGTCCTGGAACTCACTATGTAGACTGGGCTGGCTTTGAACTCACAGAGATCTGCCTGCCTTTGCCTCCCGAGTGCTAGGATTAAAGGCATGTGCCACCACACCCGGCTCAAATTATTTTTCCATCAAAAGTTTTTTTAATCATGAGACTGAATAAAATGAAAGTATCAAGGGAACTTCAAACTTACTCAAATATTTAAATTAAAATTTATTATTATTTTTACTTTAACAAATTCATTAATTGGGACTAAAGCGATCAGCAGTTAAGAGCACTGACTACTTTTTACAGAGGACTGAGGTTTGGGTCCAACACCTACATGGTAGCTAATAACCATCTACAATTCCAGTTCCAGGTGATCCAACATCTCTTTTAGTCTCTGCAGACATTGTACACATGTGGCACACCTACATACACTCAGGCAAAACACTCACACACACAAAATAAAAAGAAATAAAAATTATTTTAAAAATTCACTAACAACAGCAAAAAGAAATTGTTCATTACTATGGACAACAGATCTGCTGCTACTTGTTTTAACAAAACAATGACCCTTGGAGGGCTGTCAAAGTGGTTACCTATATTTAGGTGTTTCCACATCACATTTTTTTCTTCCTAGCCACAAGGTAAAGAAATCTAGACTATGAGTTACTGTGTATGGGCTGCAATATTCACATCACTTTCTTCTATTTAATTTGTAATGGGCTTTCAAAAAGTTAACCCAGAACTTACACAGATACTTACAAGAATAAAGTTCATTTTAAAAAATATATAAAATATTCAATGAGCCAGATTACAGGAATGCTTTACGTATAACTTTTTTATTTTCATGCAAAATAAAGGCACACTTAATAACACCCTTTCAATTTTGACTTACAGGATTTAAATTCAACCCTTTATAACAATGACTTAATACTAAATGTTACATTCATGTTCAGAATGCAGAAAGTGCAGCAACAAATGCAGCAAACCTCAAAACAAGGTGCTACAAAGCTGCTTCTACATCAAAAGACAGACAAGTGTCTGATAGAGTAATTTAATTGAACACATATTTACAGACATACAGCTACCCTAAAGAAAGACAGACAGATTTAGGAAAGCAGCTACATCTGTAGAGGAAGGAAACAGCATGTTACAGACAGTCAATTATACATAGAACATTTGACAAACACCACAGAAAACAAACTTTGGCATCATTTACCAGGGTACAAAACCTTTCATAAATATTTTGGCAAGTAAAGTGCATTAAGTGAAATTTGGGGGCCTAAGCAGATTGTTAACTCTAAAATTAAGTACTTGAAAATATAAGCATAATCTAATACAAAATAAGAACATTGAAATTACATTACCATTTTAGTTATATGTATATTCCTGATTTACATTCTTAACTGAGGCTTTAAAAAGAAAATGGTGCGTTGGAGAAATATTTAAGAAGTATGATATGAGCTACTCCCATATCATTTCATGAAAAGCTAAGGAACTGACCATTATTTTCAACTAAAAGACAGCCCATTCTATCAATATTATATGCCTTGGTCAGATATGACTTTTATCTTGTAATACCCTGTGTCAGCTGTTGAGACAGGCACTAAAAAGCAGAAGAAGTTCCCTGCATGCATTATGTGTATTGTTAGCAAAAGAGTGAGGTGTGCCCCAGTCCATCTGAGGCACAGCAAGTTGCATAACATCATTACCACTTTGCAGGGTCTGCCGTCCTCCAGCCAACACTCCACTAGGCAACATCCCTGTGGGAGTCAGGCCCTTGAGTGTCAGCACACTTTCACTCTCCTCCCTAAAGTAGAGAAATAACAAACATCAGAAAGGTTAGTGTGGTAGCTCAGTGGTAGAACATTTGCCTAGCATGCACAGACCTATGGGCTTGATCCCCAAAACTTCAAAAAGCAAAGCAAAATAAAAATCTATCAGTAAGTACTTAGTTTAGAAGAGGCAAGAGGGACTAGATGTACGTCATGCATAATTTAAGATATTCATTATTATTAACATACTGCCCTCAATTCCAAGATATGCATTTTCCCATATTATAGATATTTCATATGGAAGAGTAGACAGATTACAACTGAAGCATATATTGCTTTTCCTAGAACCTCAATTTCCCAAATTAACCCCACAAAGGCAAGTTGAGGCCCTAGCCAAAGAGACATGCTACGTGGATGAGGAAATTCATCAGAGATTTCTAAAAAAGCGCTCATTCCGAGTCGTCCTGATCTAATTTTCAAGGTGTAGATTCAGTGCTTTTATCACACAACTAGATATACTAAAAGTCAAAAACCGTAATTTCAGTGGCAGAGTACATGCTTTGTATATGTAAGGCCCTGGGTTTGATTCCAGCACCACAAAACAAAACAATGAAATCAAGACAACAAAATACCCCTACATTCAAAGGAACTGTTGTGCCTTCTTCAATATATTAATGTACAACTAGTTTCAATATAGGAAGAATACCAAGTTGCTTTTAGATGTTAACTAGAATGCTCATGACGTACAAAAATAGTGTCTGCAAAATCAGTACCTGAGAACAGAGAAGACTCTTGCCATCTTGCCAATTGCTCGGATTTTATTTCTTATGATTTCTTTCCGGGCTGCAGCTGAACCTACTTTCAATGGAATAAATAAAAAGAAAGGCTCAAGATTAGGGCATTCTAAGTATTATTCTAATAGCCTATTCCAGACTGGTCTGAACCAATACCAAATCTCCTGCTACCAGCTCACATGGAGGAAACTAGTTGAACTCATGCCAGAATGTTGCTCACTCCCTCAATTAGCTCAACACTAGTCAAATACCAGGGTCTGATGAAGAGCAACCCACAAACTTTATCTCACACTACTGCCTAATCAGAAAAGGAATAATGGGGTTGAGGGCAGGGGAGAAGATTGAAATCCAACTTAGATTAGAAACTAGACGACAAAAAACTAGAAATAATCCTAAAAATCTTATAGTTTTTAATTTTCATGAGAGCCTATGGCATGCAGACCAAGAGAAAAACAGAAAGCCTTTAACATGCAAGCTAGGAATATCTCATATTATAAAAAGAATAAGCTTCTTTGCTCTACGTTAGTCTAAAAATAATGACATATAGGGTAATAATGATTACAAAGATAATGTAAACTAAGGACTACTGCAGTATTTTAGCAACAATATACACCTCAACCTCATGAAGTAGCTGTCCTCTAAAGTCATCAAGTTTATAGAAGCTTCCCATAAA